TTTTCCCCCCGCATTCTCCACGGGTCACCAGCCCTCAGGCGGTCCACGAGAGATTCGCGAGTGCCGCTACGCCTCAGGTTGCTTAGTTGAGATTGGCTTGGCCACGGTCTCATCATGCAGAACATGGCCATTTCTCTCTGTTCGTCTCTGTAGAGTTTTGTCGAAGTGAAGCGAAGCGAACACATAGGGAGGACACCCGACACCCGAACGTCGCCCACTCATCACCCGCACATCTCCTGATCGGGCGCGCACGAGTGCAATGCTGCCAAACGAGCAGTTCCAGAAGTTGCTCTATGACCTTTTCTGTTTATGGCATGGAGTTCAACGCCACTATGATCCGCCTTTTACGGATACCGAAGAGCAGAGGCTCGCGAAGGTAAGGTAAGGGTGAAGGAGCGATGTGGTTATCGTATTTTTTTACAGGTTAAGTCGATGATTTGCAAGTTGCTAACTGAAATCGATGGTCGCGTTACTCGTATACAACAAAATCAGACTGGCGGAATCAAAGGACAGGTAGGTCTTTTCCGCTTAAGAAATTGATTTCTGCCATTTTTTGAAAGGATAATTGACAGTTTGATAAAGGGATTAGTTATGGCGCCTGATGTAAGTAAGTAGCAAAGTATGATTTCTGACATCAGACATCTGCTTTTTTTCTGTAATATTTTGTACTTTGTTCACCTACTTTTCCACCAAACAAAAATGTGATGACAAAAATCTACTGAGACCGTTTTTTGCTTTCGTCTGGAAAATTCTCTGATCAAGAAGATCGTATGTTTCTTAGCAATTTCTTATTGATAAGAAAGTCTGTCTGTAAGAACTGAGGAACTTGATGTCACTGTTTTACTTTTTTGACAAATTTAGAGTATAGAAAATTACTAAAAGTGAAGTGTAGAAAGTAAAGTAAAAGTATAGAAAATGTCTTTACCTTGACCAGAGAATTTTTTGTAATTTCTCCAGTTTTTTCCTGAAATTTTAGGCTACAAGGGTAACGTTTGTATGTGCTGAACCCGGTTTTCCAGAAATTTCTCTATTTTCTCTGTTTGGAGAAACATGAAATTGTCTTCTTTTTCTGATAAATTACATAATTCAAAAA